CTCCCCCCTTGCTCCCAGGCGGGCCAGCTCCTGGCCAACTTCCCATAGCTTGTCCGTCCGTCCTCTCTGCACCCTGTGTGGCTGCTCTGGGCCTCATGGGACATGGCCCTTTTGCTCACCCTCTGGGGACACGGCTGATAGGACTGCCCTCCCATTTCCAGTGAAGGCCTTGGGATTAGAAGCCCTGTGTGAGGCCCCCACGTCCCAGCCCCTTGAGCAAGGCCCAGTTACAGGAACAGAGGCTAGTGGCCCGAGGCAAGCAGGTCACAGGTCCCACCCTCTCATCAGCCTGGGGGCTGGTGGCCAGGGACCCCCAGCGTTTAGGGGTGAGATGACAGCTCGTGGTCGGACAGACCTGGGGACCAGTTGGCTGCTCTGTGTGCTGGCATCAGTGTCCGTAAACACAAAGTGGCAGAATCCCTTGTCATCGGGACATTGTAACGCACGTCGCAGCCGCTGGTGCAGAGGTCTGGGGCGGACGGGCTCCCTCTCAGACAACACCCTCAGGGTGTGAGGCGTGTCCCAGAGGAGCCCTGTGGCTTCTCGGGTCACCACGCTCTCTCCCAGCACCGTCTGAGCATCCCACTCACCGCCTCCCACGTGCTGCAGTGCGGCATGTGGACCGTGAGGCGGCTCCGGTGATTTCTCGGGATCAGTGCGGCTCAGGGCTGACAAGGTTCGCAAAGTCCTCAGCCGCCTGATCCTGCTTTAGTTTTAGCACCGGAGAACTTTAAACGTGGTCCCATGGATTTTCTAGTTTCTCATGGTGAAGGCTGGCGTTTCACAGGCGTCCCGTGGAGCAGACTTAATTCTCACTCACAGGCCGGGTCCTGCGCCGGGTCCTGGGCCGGGTCCTGCGAGCTTGGCTTGTTCTCTGTGCGGGCGTAGTGTCTGGACATAGTCGGTGCTCATGAGGGAAAGAGCTGTGGCCAGGCAGGGGCTTGACAGGGAGCGGGGGGATCCTTTCTGGGATGGGGCGGCTGCCCCAGACAGTGGGGGGCCCTTTCTGGGTCTCCCTGTCAGTCCCCTTCCCGCTGTCTGAACCTGAGGGCGGCTGAGCACAGACCCGGTGAACTCTCCCAGGGTGACTGCGCACCCTTTTTGTGCCCTGCCAAACTTGTTTTTTCATAAAGGGTCATAGAGACTGTGGGATTGACTTAAGTAACTTAGGTTGTCAGTTATCAGACAAGAACCAGGTGCTATCTCTTTGGACACCCCATTAAAGTCTCCTCTCCGCCCGCTGGTGGATCTCAGCAGCCATTAGGCATCTAAAGAGGAGGAAGGAGGGGCCAGGGTGCAGGGGAGAGGAAAGAGGGGCGGGGTGCAGGGGAGAGGAGGGCGGGGCTGGGGTGCAGGGGAGAGGAAGGAGGGGCAGGGTGCAGGGGAGAGGCGGAAAGGGGCGGGGTGCAGGGGAGAGGGGGGTGGGGCCGGGGTGCAGGGGAGAGGAGGGCGCCCGGCTGAAGGGAGGGGCCGTCGTCTGAAGGCGGCTGCAGGCCAGTGTTTTGGTGCCGGCCCTCGCAGGGTTTTTTCAGGACCATCTTGCAGGACGCTCAGCCAGAGCGCCCCAGCTCCTCTTTGCAGTTGCCTGGCCGCACCTCTGTAACGCGACTGTCCACTCCGGGGCCGCGCCCGCCCCGCGCCTGCCCTCGCCCCGCGCCTGGTCGGCCTGAGTGGGAGGCCCTCCAGCGAACCCCACACAGAGCCGCCTGCAGCCTCCCTTCCAGGCAGCTCCGTTGCCAGGACAACACTCTTCTCCCATTCTGACAGTGCTCCGCGGGACCCCAGCCTTCGTGACACTCCATCTAGGCTCAGCGCCGAGGGTGCCTGGGGTGCTGTTCCCCCCCACAACTTTTGTGGACATTGGTTTATCCAGAGCAGGGGGCGTAGAAAGAGCCCCACCGCGGAGCTCTGGTGGCCTAGTGTCTAAGGCATTTGCCTGTTAACTAGAAGGTTGGCGGTTCAAACTCTGCGGAAGGAAGACTGGGCAACCTACTTCTGTAAAGATTTACTGCCTCAGAAACCCAAAGGGGGTCGCTATGAGTTGGAATCGCCTTGGTGGCAGTGAGTTTGGTTTATTTGGTTTCTGGGGTCAGGCTCCACTAGTGCACGCCTCCTTCTGCCTGGAAGTCGCCCTTCTGTGCTGGGTGATGGCGGCGGCCCCTTCCTGCCTGGTCTGCCAGGCTGCTCTCACAGCTCCCTGGGGTCCTGACCTTGTCCAGAGGCTCACCTTGTTGCTAGACCTTCACAGGTTAGCTTGTCGAGGTGTCATCTCCGCCAGGGACCGATAGGACACGAGTTGACACTGACATGCACAAGTATCTTCTACACCGTGGTCTCGCCCCAGCCAGTCCACCAGTGTTCACGCACATCACACGCTGACTGGGATTCCATCAGCAAAGATTTGCCCAGTGGATGGATGGCAGCTCTGAGTGCCAGGGCCCACTTTACAGCTGGGAAGGTGCCCACCTGCCCAGGTGAGGGGGTGCCCACCTGCCCAGGTGAGAGAGGTGCCCACCTGCCCAGGTGAGGGGGTGCCCAC